GGAAAAGATGAGTGCTGCTGTTTGGCAGGGTTTTGACAGGTGCTAAAACGGTTGACATTTTTCGACTTAACTTGGTCGACTTAGTGGAAATAGATTTTTTGTTCATCAAAATCTGCCATAGTTACTCTGCTTTTGGATATAAGATTCCAATATTTGACAGCTAACCACGCCTCACCTGTCATATATACAGGGTTGTGCCCATGGTAAAAAATGTTGCTTACGGCATCCCCAATAACATATTTAAATTTCATCCAAATATTGCGGGGTCCTTTGCCACATTTGATAAAAAGATTCTAGTTGATAAATCTTGAAATTTTCGAGTTGATCTGATACTCCGAAGTATTTTTCAGGAATTTTCAGATGTGATTTAACTTGAATTTTACAAGTTTCTTTGGTATCAAGTTGGAAAAAACCTCATAATTTTATTTCTTAACTTCAAATTAAATCCAAATTTGCCTTGTTCCATGAAAATCAAAGAATTCTAGTTAATGATTCCAGAAAATTTAAAGTCGTTCTGATTACTCAAAGTATTTTTCAGGATTTTTCATTCCATTGCAGACAAAAATTGTGCTTCTAGTCTTCAGTCATTTAACTTGATTTGCTAGAAGGATCTCTCACAGAAACTTCCGAGACTTTCTAGAAGGGGCCAAATGCTTGCACGATTTTCCAAATTATCCACCTCTATGCACAAATAGCTCAACTATTATTTACTACCCTCAAATCCTCAAAATCTAATGCCCCCTATTTAGTGTGCGCATGCACCAGAATTCAAGGAAAGGTCACTGAACACTCATCCCTCTTTCCAGCCACAAATCGATATTGCCCAAACATAAGGGAGAATAAAAATACAAAATAAAACCAGAGAAATTTATAAATCGTTCTCTTGTCTTTATACCTACAGACAGATCATGAACCGCAAACACGTGGGGTACCCTTTGGGTTCTTATACCAAGAAGAACAGGTTTTCTCTTTCTGTAAAAATGCATTTGGTGCAGTAAAATTGACCATTAAAGAAGAGAGGCATCTTGCCAGCTTGACTTTACCGTTCCCAGAGCTTTTATAAATGAAATCTTATGGCATAATGACTTTTGCGCCACACTATCTTTTACCGGAAATGCAAAATCGCTTTTACCATTATGCAGAGATATGGTAATCTATTTTGCGGCATATAGATTACATCACGAAAAGTTAATTACCTGAAACGAATATTTTTTGTTTGTCATTTGGAATTTCTAGGTTTAGATTTTATTTTGTCAACTTTAACAATAAAAAATAAACCTTTAATTGATACATAGGAAATTAAATACTTACATTCTGAAAATACCTAGTTGTAACAGACCTTAATTCATAAAAGTTGCCCTAGTAGCAAAATGTTTTGGTAAATACCGCTTCATACATGAACAAATAAATATTCATAGTTATTATGGCCATGTCCTCATAACATTGTATTTGTTTAAACAATCAAATATGTGCACCCATTAAATTATAAATGTTTTTTGACCGAGTGGCATAAATTTATTGATAACACCGAGTTGATGACCCCTGTGTGCTTGATTAAATAAACAATTTTTGCTGATTCCTAATGGAAAAGTTACTGTTTCTAACTGGAAGGTTTACAACAAGGCAGGTAGAAAAAGTCCCATGATTCGAGTTTTGAAAGGCCTCCTTTTATGGTTTCTAGGTAGAAAAAAAAAGATTTTGTGTGGCCCACCATTAAATTTTGAAGTTCACTTTCATTTTAAAATTATTCCAAATAATTGGCATTAAGGATAGAAAACCTTGCTGGCGCCACGACGCTTTTGTACACTCACTCCGACGCGACGCCTGTGACGCCTCCATGTCTAGGGACAGTCCCCATTTTAGAAATTCAATGAGAAAGAGCAATTTCCACCCTATTTAACGTCGGAACAAACAAAGCAAGGAGTTTCATGCATGGGGGACCTTTCTTAGTTCTTAGTTCTTATACCTTATAGTTATTTTACTTTCTATATATACCTAGTAGGTTATTTTTAGATACCTATAACTACAAGTTCAAAATCTATCTAGAACTACTTGTTTATATTAAATATACTACTAATTGAATCTTAGAAATAAAAAACTTGATGCCAAACGACTCATGATAAATATCTTTGGAAAATCCTGAAATATACTTCGAGGAATCAGATCGACTTGAAATTTCCAGGATTCATAAACTAGAATGAAACAAGGCAAATTTAGAGTTAATTTGAAGCTCAGAAATAAAATTATGAGGTTTTTTCCAACTTGATACCAAAGAAACTTGTAAAATTCATGTTAAATCACATTTGAAAATTCCTGAAAAATACTTCAGAATTACAGATCGGCTTGAAACTTTTAGAGATTATTAACTAGGATATTTTCAACATACAGCAAATTTGAAGTCAATTTGAAGCTCAGAAATAAAATTATGAGGTTTTCCCATCTTTATACCAAAGAAACTTGTAAAATTCATGTTAAATCACATTTAAAAATTCCTAAAAAATACTTCAGATTATCAGATCGACTTGAAACTTTCAGGACTTATTAACTAGGATATTTTTATCATACAAGACAAATTTAAAGTTAATTTGAAGCTCAGAAACCAAATTATGAGGTTTTTTCCAACTTGATACCAAAGAAACTTGTCAAATTCATGTTAAATCACATTTAAAAATTCCTAAAAAATACTTCAGAGTATCAGATCGACTTGAAACTTTCAGGACTTAGCAACTAGGTTATTTTCAACATACAAGGTAAATTTGAAGTCAATTTGAAGCTCAAAAATAAAATTATGAGGTTTTTTCCATCTTTATACCAAAGAAACTTGTAAAATTCACGTTAAATCGCATTTGAAAATTCCTAAAAAATACTTCAGAGTATCAGATCGACTTGAAACTTTCAGGACTTATTAACTAGAACATTTTTATCATACAAGGCAAATTTGAAGTCAATTTGAAGCTCAGAAATCAAATTATGAGGTTTTTTTCCAACTTGATACAAACGAAACTAGTTAAATTCATGTTAAATCGCATTTGAAAATTCCTGAAAAATACTTCAGAGTATCAGATAGACTTGAAACTTTCAGGACTTATTGACTAGGATATTTTCATCATACAAGGGTCAATTTGAAGCTCAGAAATAAAATTATGAGGTTTTTTCCATCTTTATACCAAAGAAACTTGTAAAGTTCACGTTAAATCGCATTTGAAAATTCCTGAAAAATACTTCAAAGTATCAGATCGACTTGAAACTTTCAGGATTTATTAACTAGCATTTTTTTATCATATAAGGCAAATTTGAAGGCAATTTGAAGCTCAGAAATAAAATTATGAGATTTTTTCCATCTTTATACCAAAGAAACTTGTGAAATTCACGTTAAATCACATTTGAAAATTCCTGAAAAATACTTCAGAGTATCAGATCGACTTGAAACTTTCAGGACTTTTTAACTAGCATATTTTTATCTTACAAGGCAAATTTGAAGTCAATTTGAAGCTCAGAAATCAAATTATGAGGTTTTCTCCAACTTGATACCAAAGAAACTTGTAAAATTCACGTTAAATCACATTTGAAAATTCCTGAAAAATACTTCAGAGTATCAGATCGACTTGAAACTTTCAGGACTTATTAACTAGCATTTTTTTATCATACAAGGCAAATTTGAAGTCAATTTGAAGCTCAGACTCCAAATTATGCGGTTTTTTCCAACTTGATACCAAAGAAACTTGTAAAATTCATGTTAAATCACATTTAAAAATTCCTAAAAAATACTTCATAGTATCAGATCGACTTGAAACTTTCAGGACTTATCAACTAGGATATTTTCAACATACAAGGCAAATTTGAAGTCAATTTGAAGCTCAAAAATAAAATTATGAGGTTTTTTCCATCTTTATACCAAAGAAACTTGTAAAATTCACGTTAAATCGCATTTGAAAATTCCTAAAAAATACTTCATAGTATCAGATCGACTTGAAACTTTCAGGACTTATAAACTAGAATATTTTTATCATACAAGGCAAATTTGAAGTCAATTTGAAGCTCAGAAATCAAATTATGAGGTTTTTTCCAACTTGATACCAAAGAAACTAGTTAAATTCATGTTAAATCGCATTTGAAAATTCCTGAAAAATACTTCAGAGTATCAAATCGACTTGAAACTTTCAGGACTTATTGACTAGGATATTTTCATCATAGAAGGCAAATTTGAAGTCAATTTGAAGCTCAGAAATAAAATTATGAGGTTTTTTCCATCTTTATACCAAAGAAACTTGTAAAGTTCACGTTAAATCGCATTTGAAAATTCCTGAAAAATACTTCAAAGTATCAGATCGACTTGAAACTTTCAGGATTTATTAACTAGGATATTTTCATCATACAAGGCAAACTTGAAGTCAATTTGAAGCTCAGAAATAAAATTATGAGGTTTTTCTCATCTTTATACCAAAGAAACTTGTAAAATTAACGTTAAATCACATTTGAAAATTCCTAAAAAATACTTCAGAGTATCAAATTGATTTGAAACTTCCAGGACTTATTAACTAGGATATTTTCATCATACAAAGCAAGTTTGAATTCAATTTGAAACTCAGGAACAATATTTATGATGTTTTTCTCAACTTGATACCAAACAACTCATGTTAAATCATCTTTGGAAAATCCTGAAAACTATCAGATTGACTTCAAACTTTCAGGATTCATTAACTAGGATCTTTTCATCAAACAAGGCTAATTTGAAGTCAATTTTATTAAAATAGACACATGCTTTTTCTACAGGATTCAACCAGCAAAGAGGTTATATGTAACATGATTTGTTAGGGTTGTATAATATAATATTTGTTCTCGAAATATTTACTCTTAGCACCTGATAGTTTTATACTATAGCAAACATTTTAGGAATTTATTACAAGATTTTACCGACAGTAGTAGGTAAACTTTAAAATACTAATTTTTAAACTCAAAACAAATTTTCATTATTATTATTAGTTATTTATTTTTTCCAGGATGTGGTGGACAATCACTGGAAACTTCGGAAACATCCTGCCAATCGATTGGTCCAAATCCTACGCCAGGAAACTACAAATTGACTCATTGCATTTAGAACAGGTAATAATGGCCACCGAAACCATATATTATTTTCGCACATTTATTCGGAATCCGCTTACGTCATATTTAAGTAAATAAGATCCAATTTAAAATGATTATTTTAACACACACACACATTGTCATATGATCCTTGACTTTATGTGTGGGACAAATAATATGACTAAAAAAAAAAACGAGAAATACTGGAAACATCTGGCAGGGAAAATCGCATTTGAATGCCATAAATGAGGGGCTTCTTTATCATAGCCAAATGATTCATGTACCTAAAATAACATAAAATTGATTTAATCTTCCTTGGTAGAAATTATGGTATCTTTTGAGACTTCTGAATATAAAGCTAGTGTCACGTAAAACAACCACACATTCATCCCTCATTGGGTCTTCCACTTTCATAAATAAATAGATTGTTTTATGTAGGGATTTTTTTCAAGTCTCGAGTTTCTTGTCCCTTTAGATTTAAAAGAATATTCAGGCAGAATAATTGAAGAAGTCTCTGTTGATTTTCCCTAATTTTGAAATAAGAAAAATGGGATATCAAAATACCTTACCCTAACCATTTATTGCTTTTTTTGCGGAATCACTGATTGCCATATATTCAGCTTCACACGAAGACATGGCGACTGTAGTCTGCTTGCGACATTCCCAAAAAACAACTGCATCAGCATATTTGAAACAAAAACCAGTGTATGACTTTCGATTTGTCACATCACTACCCCAATCTGCATCAGTGTATCCAGTCAATTCTTCTTCAGATTTCCGATAAACTAATACTCTGTCTACTGTTCCTTTGAGATATCTTAGTACGCGCTTTGCAGCTTGCCAGTGTTTTTGACCATACTTAGTATTGAACTGGCTCAAATAGGAGCATGCATAGGCAATCTCAGGTCTAGAAGTGACACTCAAATACATTAGATATCCAATTAGTTGCGGATATGCCATATTCAGGCTCTTTTCGCTCACTAATGGCAGTTTTTATATTTGAATCCATTGGTGTACTGATTGGTTTACAATCCAACATTCCAAACTTCCTTAGTACATCCATGACATATACTTTCTCTGACTGATAGAAATGCTACCATTTCGATTTTTCTGCACTTTCATGCCCAAACAGTTATGTATAACTCCAAGATTTTTGATTTTAAGATGACGTTGCCTCTTCAATTTCTCAACTTCATTTTCATCATTATGAAAAATAAAAAAGTCGTCCAAGTACAGTGCAATGATAACTATGGAGTTATTTTTCTTCATAGTGTAGATGCAACTTTCGTGTGCTGACTGCTTGTAATTAAGTTCTTTTAAAACCTTGTCAACTTTCTTATTCTAGGTTCTTGAAGCTTGTTTCAGTCCGTATAATGCTTTTCGAAGAAGATACACTTCATTATCGTATGATTTTCTCATCTAGTTCTCCGTTACGAAAAGCAGTGACAACATCCAAATGTTCCATTTCAAGGTTAATTTGAACAGCCAATGCAAAAAGCAAACATATTGATGAATATCTAATCACTGGTGATCAAGTATCAAAGTAATGTTTTCCTTGAATACAGGACTCATAAGGATCGTCAAGATTTTTGTTAGAAAAATCCAATCCTATAGCCATGTTGTCACGAAAAAGTTTCATACTGATACGGTTTAAATGTCCAAGTCTTCTATGCCAAAGTACTTTTGACATTTCTGTGTTTGAAAAATTGGCTTGTTCGGTTTTGTTTAGATTGAGGCAATAGACTCCACTAATTTTAGTTGCTGTGGCCACTGTATCTCCTTTAATCACGCAGTTTTCAAGTATCTTGCATCCTTCTGTCCCACTATAAAGCCTTTAGAGACCATCTGGTTTACGGATAGCAAATTAGAAGATAGGTCCGGAACATAGGTTACGTTGGAGATAACCTGGACTGGTGATCTATCCTACAGGCTAATAGATACATCTCCAATTCCTTGACTGTATAAAATTTGGTTATTTGCAACTAAGCCAACGTTTCTTTCTTCTGAAAAAATGACCAGCCATTCTTTGTTAGAAGTCATATGTGACCAGAATCAACATACCTACCATTTTTTCTATTTAGTTGAAAACCTAATGCGATAATAAAAACTCCATTCTTGGTTGACTTGTTCTGCTCATACTTTTTATTTTGGTTAGAAGTAGAAGGTCCACTGACTTTTGTATTTGTACAATTTTACTTATAGTGTCCCACAGAACGACATTTCCAACACCAAGGCTTTTTGTCTTTCGCATTATTGACTTTATTTTTCTTAGACCACAAAGCTTTATTTGAATTGTGTTTATCATTCTCCCACTTTGTATCTTGGATAGTGTATCTTTTGTTGTCCATCTACAGTGCTTGATTTGAGATGCTTATTGTAATTTTGTGAAGCTTTTCAAGTCCACAAATAAAATATATTAAATCCTGTATTCAATTTACTTACCTACAAATCCTGTTATGTGTTTTTTCACATTAATTATTATTGTTCTAGCAACCTCAATCCCCAGACGACGACTTAGACCTTTCCTCCGAAGACGAACAAGTGGCAAACGACCTCGACATGCACGCTCTGATACTCGGAGGCATACAGCAAGATACCGAACCTCTAAAAACTGCCGACGAAGTGATCCAAGAAATCGACGATATGATGCAAGAGGACGAATGCGAAGAAGACAGCCCAACAAGAGATTCATTTGAAAACAGCGAAGCTATGGAAAAGGCCAAAGAAGTCCTCGCTTCGCCGCTTTACGAAGACAAACTACGCAGCCTCAGCTTGTCTCAGCTGAACGAATTGTTTTTGGAACTCGAAGTTTTGATTAGAGAATTCTCTGAAACACTTATTTCTGAGCTGGCGCTCAGAGACGAGCTCGAATACGAGAAAGAACTGAAAAACACTTTTATTTCTTTGCTGTTGGCGGTGCAAAATAAGAGGAGGCAGTACCACGTTGAAAGGAAGCGAAGTTCCAGAAATAGTTTGGTTAAAACACCAAATGGATTGGATCCAAAAGTAACTCTATCCTAAAAATAAAAACTAGTTTTTAATTGATTTTTTTTTAGTATTTAACTACAGTCATTCCATACCACATAGATAATGGTACTCCACACAATCAGACTCTTCAAGTATTAATTAAAAGTAAGTAATTAGTTAGTAGAGACAAGAAATCGCTTGCTTGCGTCATACGTTTAAAAAATTATTTGAAATACAAACCTTATCATTCAAATGACACCAGAGAAATTGGCCTACCTGTAACTGTATCTGCACATGGAATTATTTGTCGTCCTCTTGTAGAAAGTCTCCGGACATCAATTTCATGATTTTTCTGTTACCAGTCCCTTTTACCATGTCAAAGGTTGCCAGTTCGATATTCTATGAAGGCATAAACCTTTTAAAAAGTAAATGAGTATATTTCTTATTCACCTGATTTGATTTAAGGTCAGTAGGAGTAGGTGTAATAGTCAATAGGTATATGACTTCCTAATGAATCTGGTCCAAAAATCAAAAAAAATTACTTTGTTTAAATACTCAAATATAATTATTTTTTAGTTTTAAAAGCCATAAATGAAGATAGTCCAACCGTTCCAACGCTCCTCACGGATTATATATTAAAAGGTAAGGCAAGCTTAACAATTTGGCAGAAAAATCAAATTTTGTTTTTTTTTCCAGTTATATGTCCGACGTAAAGTATCCCTTCTAGAACAAAAAATCGGCGCACAAGAAGACTACCATTCTTGACACCTTTTCTAGCGTAATTTTAACAAGAAAAATCCCCCATTATTCTAAAGCATTTTACTTGTTCCTAGCAACTATCAATAATTGCTAATTATTATAAATTTTTGAAATTATGTGTCATATCTGAATCTAGTCTATACATTATTCAATTGCGGATTTTTTTTTAATTTGTATATTTGTGGTTGGTCGTTTATTTTTAAGGGCTTTCTGTGATTTTAAATTGATAAAAATATTTATTTATGTATTTATTTGTATAAATATGTTTTGATGAAAGTTAAAAGAAATATTATACCTAAATAGGATATAGAAATAGGTGTTCAAAAAAAAAAAAAAAGTATTTTCTAGCTTATTACCCAGTGGTGCAATATTCTTCTGCACAAAACTCTAGTGTAATAATTATTATTTTTTTGTACAAAAGTGATGTTAAATATTGTTTTATTTATTTGTGCTAGCTGTTGAATAAATATTGCTTTCTTGCCATAATAAAGCAGTTAATTTCCACACAACAGTTGTGAAATGATAACCAGTTTTTATCTGTATCCTCTATAACTGTCTTTGCCATAAAATGCTCTGTGTGAAGATATTTTGATTTTTATGTTAAAATAAGCTTCAATAAAGATTATTAAATCCAGTTTGTGAATATTTTTTTTAGTTTTCAGCCTCTTTAAAGGCGGTGGATGTCTTAAAAAAAAATATGTACGCCCACACATGAACGCGCAAACAAAAACATCAAATGTGTATACAAAATACTGTCGTGTTTTTGAATGTACAAGCGGTAGAATGACGCTGAGGTGAATTCTGAAATCGCTAGAAATTTTGTATGCACACTTGGAATACTGTAGCAAGACTGACAATTTTGTGCGAGCATCTGTACAACAGTGACATGCCCGTTGATGTATACACGTATATGTATCAAGCCATCCGCGTCCGTGTGTAACCGCCTTCACAGTGATAACGTTCTCAAAAATATTAGTGAAGAAGTATAGTAACTTTTAAGACCCTAACGATTCGACGCTGATCAAAACTACCCAAAAGCTGCTCAAAAGTAGACTTGGTAGATTGGTAAGCAACTTTCAACAATTTCATATCATCCTTTGATAAACTAGAAGTTGATGGAAATCTAAAACTCTTGGTGAACTATGTAAGTCACAACAATTACGAACACGTATCCTGCTGTCAGGGCCTATTTTGCCAAAAGGCACATAGGGCCCGGGCCTTGGGCCCGGTGTAAAATGGGGCCCCGAGAAAGGCTTGAAAAAAAATTTACATTTCAATTTGTAAATAAACACCAAAAAAAAAACCGAATATTCCGGTATCTGATTCAGAAAATTAATTAAATTAGACTTTTTGGTTGGCCTCATACAGCCGGAATGTCTTTCTGAATTCAGAAATGGAATTCATAATCTGAATTATTAACGTACGGAGTATGCAAGGTGTCCCCGTCCCCGTTTTTTTGGAGTGGTTCCAGGTAGAAAATGGGGGTGCATTATACATATTTTTAAATATCATTCCTACATCAATAATCCCTGAAAATTTGTACAGCCTAGTATTTTTAAGCCCTTCAGGTGATATGAAAGGGGGTTGTTTAAATTTTAACACCCTGTATTTTGGAAACGACGTAGTACTTCTGACCATAGGTGTCCTATCTCAAACTACTTCTCTATAGTTCCTCTATGTACCCTAGCATTTTTGACCAGTTGAACGGGGACACCCTGTATATTTTTATTATACAGCAAGCACACACACTCTGACTTTTTCAGATTATGAATATTTCATATTGATCTGCTAGTGACTCTCTGACTAATCTGTGACTCTGACGAGCGTTTTGAATTCCGGATCTGAAAAATTGAGATTATAATTCTTAACGCATGTTTTTCCATATGTTTCAAATATACAAGTTTACACAGCCAAAATTCAGATTCTGATTCTTCCCTTCCAACCAACACTACTCAAAAGATGCCGCAAACTATAGGACAATACTGGACGCGGAGCTGTGTGGGGCAATGTGCCAGAATTCAGATCCTGAATTCTGTTTCTGGATCCAGAAAGACATTCCGGTCGGTTGTGTGAGGCCGGCCTTAGATTGTACAATTGATTTTCGATTTAAATTTTTATTTTTTTTTAAAACAGAAGATGACACCGCCTCCATCCCAATGTCCGCAATCCACGAGAAGCCGCCGCTGTACATATTGTCATCATAAAGGATATTGGGGGCTCGAAGTTCTGCTTGGGCCTTGGGGCCCAACTGAATCAAAAATAGGCCCTCTCTGCTGTTCTTCTTACTCAGAAGCTATTAAGATTTTGGATTCAATTTTCATTAAACTTAAAAATTTAATATTTGCCAGACACTGCCTCACCTCCAACCTGGAGAGCTGTTGATCAGTTCTTACAAGCACTAAAACATCTAAGTAAGGACTGCAACTTCAAAAGCTGTCAGCGCTGAAGAAAGTCAAAACGACTATATTAGAAATTCTTTTATGAGTGGCTTAAGCTCTTTCCAAATTCGAGAACGATTGTTTGAAGCCTGATGAAGCCAAGAATCAAGCTCTATCTCTAGAATCGGCATAAATCCATTGAGAAGCATATAGCATCTCTAAAGGCATTATTAACTCGATTCAATCTGAAAGTAGAGAGACCCATGAAGACTCTATTTCCGTTGCTGTGAAAGTATAAAAGAGTCCTTGCTGTGGAAATATTGCATTATGCCCTGCTAGAGATTCAACGTGTACTGAATGCGGTAAACGTGGACACTTTTCCAAGATGTCTAAGCAAAAGAAAAGTCAAAGAGGTCTGCCTCAATTATACCTGCCTCTGGGCTTCTTTGTGCGGCACCTGAAAGTTTAACCAAAAGCTTTATACATTAAATTAAACAATGTATTTGCTGATGCTTTAGTAGATACAGGGAGCTCTGAAACATACATAAATAAACATTTTGCGTTGTTTATCAATGTACCATTGTCACCAAAAGTATCTGGGACAAAAATAATTCATAATAATTTCCTGGACTAAATTCTGCCATCATTCATTTTATTCATAGTTTGACAAATTTTTGACACTAAAAATGATATAATAATATAGTAGAAGAGCTAATATGATGCTGTCCCAGAAACTTTTGATGACGATGGTACCTTAGGCATTCAAGCACTGGATCTATATTAACGACCTCAAAAACTTCACAGTGTCAAATATCAGGTCATTGCTTTGTAGATTTAGAGATGATGGAACATAAATAGAGAAAATAACGTTTATCAGTTCTTTCTGATTCATGTGCTAATGCCATTTATAGGTCATAATATACTTAGACAGCATTCAATGTTTGAAATAGGTACTCATCGAGCGAAATACCTTTTAGAGGTTCTAAGTCTTCCTCGTGGATTTGTAGCTTGGCGTTCCTAAAAATTGACCCTCCTACACATTATTTTCAAATCTAGGTATCAGCAGACTGTAGGCCAATGCAACAAAGTCTAGACGTTTCTTACTAGAAGACATTTAATTTCTACTGAAATAACCTCTCAATAGTCTCAAATGAAATCATTGAATAAAACAACTCTCCTTGGGGGGCACAGAGGTGTTGGTAACGAAAAATGAAACGCACAACAAAAGGATGGTGGTCGATTACTCTCAAACCATTAACAGGTTTACATAGATGTTTATCCTCTGCCTAATATTGAAGATATTGTTCGCAAAACTTGAGATGATTACGAGGGGTAAATCCCAAACCCATCTTTTAACTTATTTTCGGGCCTTTTCATCAAAATCTCCAAGAATCGTGCGCAAGTTCGTTCTGGTTTGTTCTGGTTCAGTGTTCCACTTTGTTCTGGTTGAGTGTTCCAATTTTTTTTGGTCAACTGATCCAGTTACTTTAATTTTGAGGCAACTGAAACAGTGACCGCTATTTTTTTATGCATTAACATAGTAATATAGTTCTGAGGCGTCTGGAACATATTATAACGTGTATGTGAAGATCCTACTAAGAATTATGGGAAATGTGGGAGATGCAACAAAAGTATTACTTAGTGGTGAGAAAATACCGTTTGATAAAAATAATAAAATGAACCAAAAATAATATAAGAAACCTATTTTCTTTGTAAGTAATCCATACTACCTATCTCCATTTCTGCATGGTGTTCAGCAGACAGGTCTTCTTCTACTTCATATATTTCTCCACCACCTTATATCCTGCTACCGACAATACCTTTCCCTATTGTTCCAAATAAAAAGAGTCAATGTGGATCTTGGGATATCATAAAAAACGGCAGCACCGTACATTGTTCTAGCGTTTTGGACATCTTCAATTGTTTTTTTCAGGGCCAACTTGATGTATTTCCTTTTGGAGGTTTTATGGATATAATTCCTGACCGCAATGGTAATTTCAGATGGAACATGTTCCAGTTGGCCACATTATATACCATATAGGTACGTTCCAGTTGCCTCTGTACGTATTTTTACCGGGGCAACTGGTACCCGGAGCTGTGTGGCTTACCTTCACAACATTTTTCTCTTACGGTTGAACATGCTCAATGCAAAATTATCCACTGTAAATCATTTACCATTGATTAAAATCCAAACTTCTGTCACTTGGTTATATGATGAGGATGCACTTTGTCAAAGTAACAAATTGATCCAGCGGTGTTCTTTCTACTACATGATGCAGGGTGAGACACACTTGTAACAAACTTTATGCGCGGGAAATTCAAATTTCAATAATAAGCCAAAAACTGGCATATGGTCCATAGTAACCTCGCAGCGCTGTTACAGTTAACCATATAGACCTTAATTAGAAATACTGGGGAATACACGGGGGAATACTTGGAAATACTGTAGAAGTTTGAGAAGTATTCCCATAAACTGGAAATCACTGCACGTTTTTTCGTGAGTGGTTGACCCCTCGGATGTTCAGTACTATATATAGTCAAATTTGCAAAATACATATCACCAAGTTCCCATACGTGACGACGAAAAGTAGTATCTACCTATACATATACAGCTTTTAAGACAGATGGTAAATTATACCCGTTTCGGAAAGTTCCTTTTGACGTGCCAAACGGAGTTGCCTGTTTTTAGCGGGTAATAGACTACATAATAAAAACAGAGAATCTTGATAAGGTGTCTACCTATCTACGATATGCCGTATGCCGACCATAATAAAAATATAAAGAAAAATGTAGGTTCTGGTTGTGCCAAAGTCAATGGGGGAAGAAATCCTATATTGGAATTGCATGCATCACCAACCTGTGATCATCTGGGTCTCAGCAAAACGATGGACAAAATACGAAACCGATTTTTCTGGGATGGAATGTTGAAGGATATTGAAAAGTACGTCAAGGGGTGCATAGGTTGTCAAGCAAGAAAGGGACAGCCTTACAGGAAACCGCCTGGGCCCCTGAAACCGATTAAAGTGGGATGCGTCATGGACAAAGTGGGAATAGATTTTCTCGGTCCATTTAGAAGTTCCAATAATAAAACGATGATAGTAGTCGCTACAGATTATGCGTCACGATATGCAATCACGGCAGCACTGCCAAATGGGAAGGCAGGGCAGGCCCAGTGGCGAAATTTGTTTTGGAAAATATTATATTGATACATATGGAGCCCCAAGAACACTGTTGAGTGATCGGGCACATTATGGGAGTAATAAACCAATACACTACTGCGTATCACCCCCAGTGTAACGGCCTTACGGAGAGATTGAACAAAACACTGGCCGATATGCTGGCAGTTTACTGTACACACAGCAGACTGACTGGTGTAGTTACGTACCGTTTGTCACTTTTGCTTATAATATAGCGATTCAAGAGAGTACAAAGCTTAGTCCGTTTATGGTGACTTTTACCAGGGAACCAACCCTTCTGTCGGAAGCAAAGTTGATTGATAGTGACTCAGAGGCGGATACGCTACACTTGAGGGAAAAACCGCTAGAGGCAAGTAAAGGATAAAGTACGATTCGACAGCAAACATAAAGAGTTGAAGTTTGATATTGGAGATAAAGTGAAAATTTTCGTGCCGGTGAGAAAAGTAGGCCGAAGCGAGAAATTGCTATTGAAATGGTTCGGACCATACAAAGGTGTTAAGAAAATTAGGAGAGGAGAGGTCGACTATGAAGTGGAGAAAATTGGGAGAAAAAGGAAGGCACGGCCCATGTAAGTAGGATAGTGCCCTACTACGACCCTTCGACAGGGGATTCCCCAATTTTAGAAGACTTATTAGATGAATCGGAATCAGAGGAGTAACGTTGATGAAAATGAGGAAAAAATAGAGGAAATCAGCGAAGACTGAGGCCTCAGTAATTAGTACGAAATCGATTGGGATCGCCGACCCACATCGAAAACCTAGTAATCATAAAACTTTAAGATAGTAAAATATACCTACTCACTATCTTAGTTTAAAGGACATATTATTAACGTAGCATATAAAGATATAATTATTATAATAATCAAAAAACCGCGGAGAACATTACTTTATTCTATACCACAAAAGTCTGCTATTAATATTCATCATATTATATCTGGTGTATAAATATAAAATAATCCAAAATTTGATTATTAACCTTCGTCTTCCCACGTCAAAAAAAATTACGTATAGATTCCCACGTGGGGTACATTCGCACCCCATGATAAAAATGATACTTCTGATAATTAAACATGATTTTATTTATACTAAACAGTTATAATAGATAAAATCAACCCATAGAGTACAGTTAGCGAAAAAAAAAAAACAGTTAGGAAATGTTATTTTCAACCAATGCGTGCCATCTTTCGATTTATAAATCATTTTTCCGCCTTCTACTTCCCGTAAACTTTCGTTCTCTTCCTGCTCCACAAATATTTCTTGATTAGCTTTATTATCGTAATCTCTGCATTTTGCAGAAATCTATTTCCAACCTGCAAATTTCCTGCAAGGTGACTACTTGATAGAGTAGCCACAGATTCCCACGTGGGGTACGTCATTGGGTACATGTGCCCCACGCTATGCAAAAATTATTATGTCTAAAAAATAAATAAATAGAAAATTTTTGATGATCACTAATTATGTGCAAAGCCCTTACTGACACAAAATAATATTAGTCTTGTAGTAGAAAATATGCTAGAAAAATTGTTTTCTGGGGTATTTGTACCCCACGTGGGAAGACGAAGGTTAAGCAAACAAATACTCGAGCAGAACCCACGGTGTATAGCCTATTGCTTATTGAGAAACTATAAAACCACTTATAGCCAAGCAAACCAACACCAGCTACAACAACGGTGCTGACGAGAGTAAGGCTTGAGCCTAAAATAAGTGGATGAATTATTACAGGAAGGTATACCCTAACATTAAATATATTATATTTATCTATAGTTATTCTGGTGTTCCTTTTCTCTTACCGTTCTGATTTTCAGGGTAAATAATAGTTGAGCTACATAGCGGAGCAAGAGAGGCTTCGTGGCAATAGATACTATCCAGGAAGATCTCAAATACGTATCGGGGGATTGGAGAGGGAACCATAATGAGGAAATTTTTGAGTCACACCGCCTCACCCCTTAGGAGGTACTGTACCTAGATTTATAGGAGTACAGTCCTTATGCATAACCAAAATGGGACACACTGTACCTACATTGTACATATGATAAATAGGTATGAAAAACTTCAAGAAATGGCAGCTTATACTTACTCATACAATCAAATTTTGGAAACTGAATCATCAATGAGCTATTATTATGATTCACTGGATAATTTTCCAGAAACTACCCGAAGAGCGTTCAAATACCTACCTATTGATTATTATATCAGTTCCTTGCAATTCAAAATCAATTTTCTGTTTATAGTTTCAGATAAAAACTTAGTAAAGCAAACAAAGAGGCCCCTAATTATCGTCCAAATAAGGCTTCTCTATAATAATCAGATTACAACAGATTTGTACTTTGTAGCTTCCCTTAAGAGTACCTACCTATATACAAGGCATATAGCCACTTTCAGAAAATTAAAACAATTAATGAGTAATGAAGTTTGACTTATTACCTATTATAAAATACAATGCAGCTATTATAGTGTGAATCAAGTAAGAAAAAAATCAAATTCTTTGCACTGAATAGGTATAAAAATTCCTTGACAATGATTAAGGTTCTTAATAAAAACGCGCCTTAATCGTAGCTAAATATTAGTGGTCAGCAAACTACACAAAGATAAACTCGTATCCTTTGTAGATAACAATAATTTAAATTCGTCAAAAGGAATTGGGTTTTATTCGTTGAGTAAGCACTTTAGTAGCCTTTGATAACTTGGTGAGCTCGGACAATAATAATAATTGAATTCATCATGTATATCAAAAGTGTTTTATTTGCTTCCGTTTTAGTTGTTTTAATTAGTGCCAGTTGTGCTACTTGGAGGGCTTGTGGTAAGTACTTTGTGCGTGATTTAACAAGAAAAAACCAGAAAATTATAATTTGACTCTTTACCCTATTGACCCTCATTATCTTATATAGGATAAATACCAAAAATGTCGCTTAATTATATTACAAAAGATAATTAAATGTGAATTTTTTGATCCAGAAACTGTCACAAATGGAGTGGTTTCATCAGTGGTCGTTTCGAAATGCCTCCCAAACGCGAAGCGCTGCATCCTCAAAAGAAACACCAACGCTTCGATGGAAATTGATTTCACGCCAGGTAAGAAATTTAAATACTTAATGGCCTATTAAAAAAATGAACCTTTGACTCAGGAAACATGCGAAAATATACCTACTTAAAATAGGCATCTTGTTAATTACATAGAATTACAATTTGTTGACTTGAAAAACACGCCCCCCAGTAGAGATATACCTAATACTCGCTAGCTAGTTGATATATTTTGAGTCTAATTTTATTTTAATTACAATGACGAAATCTCCCTAAGTTTTCATGATACCACTTAAAGTATTAATTATATGAGATCTTATTATTTATATGGAAAACTTATACCTACTTCAATAATCTTTGAATCATTTACAAGCTTTTACTGGACAATATTCTTACTCAACTTACGAACCTCTATTCCAGACGCTATATAGGCTCTTTGTGCAATAATTCTGAAGTTTTTAAATTGTTTTGAAGCTTTTCAAAATGCGACTGGAAAGTGTTTTGGAACATTCTAAATTGCTTATATTGAAGTTCTAAAGTGTTCTAACTTGGCTTGAAGAATTCTGGAGCATTCTAGAAGTTTTCAGTCATTTCTAAATTGTTCTCACACTTTTTTAAGTATTTTAGAGCCCTATTGTGCTCCAAAGTATTTTAAATTGGTTCAAAACTGTTTCTAGAAGTTTTCCAGTGCTAAATTGAATCTTCTGAAATAGCTCTGCGAAGTGTCTTAATTGTTTGAAAATGCTCCTAAAAATTCTGATCAACACAATTAAAGGCCTTTGCTATGTCGCAGAAGACCTCCGAGGCTGCTACACCTTCATGTGAACTGAGATATGGTGTTTCCAAGAGATTGAAAATTGCATCATTTGTGTTCTTCGAACACTGAAATCCTCAATGATATTGCTGAGCGTAAGAACCAAGGAGATTGGTCTGTAGTTTGATGGGGACTCGTTTTCCCCGGCTTTATAGAAAGGTGTTACAATTGCCTGTTTCAAGAAGAGTGGAAAGTTGTTAGATTGAAAAGAAGTGTTGATGGCACCAGCAAGCAAGGGCATTAACAGCAGGTTAGGGAAGAAAATATTTTGATAGACATGATCATGCCCGCTAGATTTTTTGTTTTCAATGTTACGAAAAACAGACACTAGTTCCTCAGCAACCACAGGCTGAAAAAAAAAGGGTCCGGCACAGACAGGTATTGGAGATATTGCACAGGTTCGCCCCTATGCTCAACCCCATTGGACCGACACTAATAGCCTATGATGTAACATGTCCTCTTATTTAAACGGCTGTGTTGATGGCGTTGATGCCCAACATCTATTTCTGCCTCTATTTTGACGTATAGAATAAACAGTGACAGATAACTTAACGTTACTGTTAAAATAAGAGAAAATGATACATCATAGGCCTGAATGTCGTCTGCTGGATTTCCTTCCTTTCCTTTTAGGTACCTCCTTTGCGTCTTTTCGCGCGTTCTTCACTCTTGCAGTAGTGCCTCCCTTCTCTTTTCCTCGTCCATATTGGCCTTCATAATATTTCTCACCATTTCTGCTACTATATCCCAGTTTCTTTTTATGCTTATTAGCATTTCTGCTATATTGTCTTTAGTTATCCGCTATCCAGTTTCCACTTCAGCCTGTAGTCTTTCCTAACCTAAAACAATCGAAAATTGAATGTTCCGGATTATCACTTTCCTCTTCGCAGAACCAGCACCCCTCGTCTTGTTTTTTCTTAATCTTACAGAGGTACGATTCAAATACCCCGTGTCCGCTCATTGCTGGTGTGGTGTAGTGGTCTAGTTCTCCCCAGCTTCTCTCGTGCCACTCGTGCCAGTCCCTTACGTTCTTGATGAAGGTTTTTGTTCATCCCTGGTAGTTGTTCCATCTTTCCTAACATTTTTTTTGGTATCATTGTTGGTATGTAGCTGTTTTCTCCTGTATTTGTAGATCCACTGGTGTCATACCTGCTAGAACTTATGCGACTTCACTATTGAGACAGTTCGGTATGCCATTATTATGCCCACTAAGAGGTTACCTTTCGCCGTTTTACAAGCTCTGCTTATTTGTTTTAGAATCTGTTCGTCTTTGATGTTGCCTTTCAGGTTTTTAAGGGTATCAGCGTAGGAGGAGGTACTGATTTCTCCAATTATTGCATCATCCCTTCTCTTTTTTGACTTGATTCTTTGGTTCCGGTGGGTCTAGGTCGGCTATATATCCTTATCTGCACGTCGGTATGTTGAAGAAGATAGTGTAGTGACGCGGAAATAAACCACCAAGAAGACAATTAAAGGTTCTGATTATTCTAAACAACTAAAGGCCTACTAGGATCCAACTACCGAAAATTAATCAAGAATAACAAGGACTTACCAAACAACCATCCCAGGAGAGATCATCACTTAGACAGCACAACCAGAAACTTCAATTAAAATTTATCTGAACATCGATATCCAGAAATTATTGAAAGCCGATGCGCTATATTGACTAATACATTGGAATGTGAATAAAGCAAAAGTTCATGGACCTTTTTTTTAAGTTCTTTCAACAATTAACATTCCAAAGGAGCCGAAAAATTTCTAAAAGGATCAATAAATCATGCACGAGCCTATATGATGATACCCACGTACTTAACAAACCACTTAGCGACGCCCTTGATAATTAATCAAAAGGGGACAAAATACACTAATTGATCGGATGATTCAATCACGAAAAATCGAGGTCAGAGTCAGAAACGATAAAGAAATTCAAGACATTGGAGGGACCAATGATATAAAAAGGCAACTTTGGCAGGAGAAAATCAGTGTTCGACAAAAAAAGTGTTCGAGAAAGAGCGATTAAACCGGCAGAACTACGGCGTGAAGGACCAGTGTCGGTTGAGTAATCAAGAAACAAGTAGTAATCGAGAATCGGGAGACCTGTGTCCAGAAAGTCAGAACTAACGGCGTGAAAGAGTTGTCGAATTAACCGAGAGAAGAAGCACGACGTGAAATAACAGCGCGAAAATATTCGAGTTTTTTATTAAGTGTTCATAATCAAATTCCTTCGACCAATAAGATTTCCATGTAATTAGGTGTGGACAGCAGTAAATATATTATTGTTAAATGTGAGTAGAGTTTTTTATGTTCAGCCAGAAATTGTGAAGGCAAGAGTGTGAATCGAGTCAAACTGTAATCACCATAATCAAAAAACTTGGAATCATATAAATTTTCCTTAACAGGTAATTGATGCTTATTACAAATCTAACAATTTTATTGTAAGATTATTTATTACCGACGCCTGTTATTTAATAACAAGCATTATTTATTTTAATAAAATAAACCCTATTTTAATTGACCACAATATTTCTGTGTTTTACTCTCCACCCGCAAATAGGACCTATGTTAAACTGTGTCTCCACTCAGAAACTAAAGCCACCGCCCGCGAATTTAATATCTTGCTAAGTTTCTGAATTTGGGGTCTCACAATAACTTCTGCCATCTTCCTCATCGTTATTTCTTTGACTCTTGGTGGCAGGCTGACAAATGTCTCCTTAATATTTTCTTGTTTGAGTGACTTGACTATTTCAAAGACGTCTTTCCAGGTTTCCACCGTTCTGTTCAGTGTGATCTAAGAAAGCCGCCGTAATTCCTTTCTTGAGTGGAATCTTTTCACCCGTTCTGTTTTTGAAGGTGGTGTATTGCTCAACTTTGGAGTAGCTACCTCTTTGGCATTGGTTTTTAGTTCCTCTTCCATTACTTCGGGGAAGCGCCCCGTTAGTCGTTTGCAGGTTTTGGTCATGTTGTCTGAATCTGAGGCGCAAAAGAATACTAAGTTATTCCACTGGGATTTTCGTGAATCGCTCGTCTCAATTGCTGTTTTCCTGAAGCTTTCTTTAGTCCAGTCTCTATCAATCATCTGTTGGAGCTCTTCATAGTCAAGTACTTCTTTCTCCAGCATAATTTTGGTTGATCTGTCTCTCTGTGCGCAGATCTTGCACTCCTTGTCTCTGCCTGCTTCTTCAACCAGTTGACGAATAAGTTCGTTTTTTGCTTCCAGTTCTTTCTGGAGTTCAGTTTAGGTTTTGGGCCGCCTTATTCCTGTCCTCTTTTTGCTCTTGTATCACGGAGCTTGTGGTGCTTCACTCCATTAACAATTTCTTTTATTTTCCTATGGACATTCCTGTTTTCTTTAATAAATTTTTCGAGGTCTGTCATTAATTCATGTAGCCTCTTTAGGTTGACGCTTGGGATAGCTTTCCCTACTTGGCTGGTCTCAGGGCTGTCCTTTGCCTTTCGTTTTTTGACTGGCTGACTTAGGAACTTTTTCGCATCATATTTCGCCTCCTTCTCGGTGTAATCTCGAAGCGGAGTCCTTATTAACAAATTCCTTCTTGGAACGGGTTATCGGTAATGTTTTCTTCGACTTGCTTTGCCGCATCATCTTGCTCTAATTCTCCCACTGTCTCAGCTTGCGCTTTTGGAAGATTGTCCCCCCTCCAGAATCCGTAGGGCAGACCTCCTAAGAAGTGCGGAATTCTCCGGCCTTGCCGATACCTGCCCTGGTGTATTTTTTTTGTTTGTTACTTCCGTATTTGGTTTGTTCGGGTGCCTTCGTTAGGCAGGATGGCATATTCATTATTTTAATTTGTAGTTAGAACACTTTCCAATATTTTAAGTAATTTGTACAAATGCCAATTTGTACAAGTACTTCCTTTTATAAAATTACTAATTGCAATTACATTTTGAACATATTTATTTTTAAAAAAAACTTGTCTGGGTCGTCTTATAGTAATGACTTAATCAACACCAAAAAATTTCAGATATCGATGCAGACAAAATCACAGCAGAAGTGAAGGGTTACATCTTAGGAGTGCCAGCGCCGTTCAACCTACCGAATCCGGACGGATGCACCGATTCGGGCATCACCTGTCCTATCAAAGCCAGTTCAACTTACAAATACAAAGCTCAAATACCCATTTTGCCTTCCTATCCGAGAGTAACCGTTGATATCCAATGGAAACTGAAAGACGGTGAAGGCAAAGACATTATTTGCGCTATGATTCCAGCAAAAATTGGATAAGAATGGAATGTTTTTCATTTAAAAAATCTTTTTCGACTTAAAACAACTTACGTTAATTATAGTCCAAACAAATAAAATATTGTTTTATTTATAATCCTTGTATAGTTATATCATCCAGGAGATGACATTATGCTTTTGAAGTTTATTGGTAAAGCTACATCTTTTTCATAGGACTCCCCAAAAAACAACTTTCACATTCACCACAAATTATTTTGTCTTTTTATCTTTTGAAGTAAGGCCCCTAATGCACAAAACAGACACAGTTTGAAAAGAAGAAACCTTCTAAAATATTTATTGAAATATAAAAATACATTTTCTTAACTTAAGGTCCGTTTGGACAATTATTACTCTATAGGTACATTTAAACAAAAGCTAAACATTTCATGTTAAAAACTAATAATAAAAGAGATCATCAAAATAATAATAACAAAACAACAAAAACAGAAGAATATTCTCTTGGAACAAAATACATAATACATAATTACTACCTATTCATTAGTAGCCTGTACAAGTGATCAGAAAACTCCATTGGAGTGGAATTGGTGCTTTTGCCTTCAGCCCCTGGTGTAGGTGTCGGGGGTCTTTGCACCAAATCATAATCACAAACGTCTTCAGACAATTGTTCCATTTTCCTTTTAGGCCTATTTTTGCAACTGCTGGAACCCCCGTGAGCCAAATTTTGCCTGGCTTTGTAAATAGGCTCGTACTCCAACAATTGCGCCTTGAACCCTTCATTTGGTTCAACTGTGTTGCGTTTAGTTTTCACAAATTGCAAAGCGTCTCTCATGGCCATGTTGTATTTCTCCATTATGTAGGCGAGAACTAAAGTAGCGCTTCTGGAGTTGCCGCTGAAGCCGTGTACAAGTACTTTTGATTTTTTGGCTAAAGCCTCGTCGATAAAATTATTAACTAGTGGAAAAAATCTTAAAATATTTTCAGTCTCTTGGTCAGCAATGTCTAGATTCAAATATGTAATACTGCCATCGTTTTCTGGTGGGTTTGGTGATTCGTGTTCTGGACATACACAGATGATGTATCTGAAAAATATTGTTTTGTTAGATTTTTTAATTGCAAAAAATTTAATTATAGCAGCGTACCTGATTCCTTTTTCTTTCAAGTGAGATAAGTAGTGGAGATGAGTTGCCGGATGGGGGCCTAAGAAGACTCCTGGAATAATTTCTTGGATGTTGGTGTGGCAAATTAGGCAAACATAATCCCATGTCGGTGAAGGAATAACATTCATCCTGTTACCACCAACGCTCATCATTGGCTAGAAAAAATTGCAATAGTAAGTAGACTGCACTTTATGCCTGACTTTTTGTACTTTAAAGTCCTTTGGGATAAAAAGTATGTACTTTAGTCCCCTGGAACAAAAGGGTCCACTTTAATGCCTCCTTCAAATATTAAGGCATTAAGCAGGAATCGGATAAGATTGCTTAAAAAAAATAAGATAAAAGACACACGTTTGACTTTCTGTCTCGCTTCCCTTCATTGGAAATACATGAAACGTGTGTCTCAGCTGCATGCACAAAAATTGAGGTTATGTCGGGGGCGCCAAAAGGCCCCAAGACGAAAATTCTGGATTTTTGCGATAAAATTCAACAGCCCTGGCATCAAATACTTAATTGACTGCCATTGATAAGTGAAAACAAATAATTCTTGGCTTTGAAATAGCTTTAATAAAGGTAAATTAACAAACCTCATCTTGAAGATGGAGAGCGGTCATATCGGGCATTTCCTTCTTTCTATTCGATTGGAAAATTGACGACACAACAGAAAATACTATTTAGCCCAAAATTCTACAAAAATTGGGCTCGTTTCGGCTCTTTAACTCATAAAAAAAAATTACTAAAAAAATTGCACAAAAGATGTGAAAAACCACTTTCACGAAAATCTCCCACAATTCCCTCCAATGTCATAATTAATTGTCAAAGTCGAATGTCTAATTTGATTAGTATTTTATTTCTCTTTTTGATTGTATTCATTGAAGAAAGATGGACAGCATCAGGTAATAAACTATTGTCATTATAAAGGGTTTTCATTTGTATCTGCTCTAGGCCTTCTTAGGATCAAATTTATAGTGGTTAGTTTACATGGGCCGCTTTCGGGTGCAGAGTGCGATGCTCCTAGTTTAGCACACTTCACACCTGTCCTACTCCATGTGTTTGCACTCGAACGCTTGAAACCGAACAAGTCAAACTGTAGCCGGAGTACTTCGGAGTAACTTTGGAGTGCTCAAAGGGTGGCACCTGAAAGCAGCTATGGACACTTATCGTCATATCACAAGGTTTTTCAATATCAATTCTAAACGTTCGAGGCTACTTTGGGGTCTGGTTGAAAAATTGGGGTTTAGATTTACAGCGAGTAGATTCTAGCGGGTCCAAATGAAAACCCCTTTTGTCAAGTGAGGTTATGTCACACTGTTTACTTTTTTTATTATTATTTTTTTCAGTTTTTACATTTTTATAAATAATTTCATAAATACAAATTACTATGGAAAAAGAAGACGAGTTTCTTTTCACTTATTTCTCATACATTTCTCAACAGTGCTTTGATAAATCCAAAGAACATGTGGTAAGTTAAATAGGTATATTATCCGTAGTTTTCAGTTGTTGATAATGCCCTTTTAGGAAAAAGAAAAGCCGGCAAAAGGTCCTGTAACGCCCTACATAACATTTTTAAACTTTCTACAACAGCTGGGCGTGTCTGAGAAAAATTACATGGAAATTGGGTTCATGCACAATAAGCAGAAGAGCTTTTTGAGAAAAGATGTAACTATTTTACCTTAAATACCTACTTAGTTTAAGGGCCAAATTATGGACTGACTGGTAAACTTCTGGTTGTAACCTAGCTAACCTAGCAAGTACTTTCTATGCTCTAGATAATGGAAAGTACCTGTTAGGTAACAACCAGACAGTTACCAGTTGGTCCATAATTTGGCCCTTAGAAAAATAACAACAAATTTATACTTTGTTTTATGTTTAATATTTATATAACAAATGAAAGTGATGCTTTACTGCACGCAACGGCAATCGTCAAGCAGTTAAGGGCGGTAAGATAAAGGCACTTTCCGCATATTTTTGGCACAAAATTTTACTTATGAGCATCTACATTTCAAGAGTCTACTTTATGCACACTATGCGGTAAAGTACTACTTTCCATTTGCAAATAGGTAATAATAATAATTTGCTCTATTTAGACTTCATCTAATTCAATACAAAAAATTTGATACCATAATAATACAATAGGTACATAAGATATAATAATTAGTTCACCTACTAATAATACCACCTTACATTGTGAAGATCATTGAACAATTCTGAACTAAGGAAGTACAATATAACATGAAATGACATATATTTTCATTTGCATCGCATCATTCATCCCCAAGTATTCTTTAAGTCTCCCCTTACAGAATCCAATGGTTGGCAAGTTCTTGATGTCATTAGGCAACACATTGAAAACTATTAACCCCTTATGGTATACTGCTTCCTCAGAAAGCGATTTATTCTTTCTTGCAACATAAAAATTGTCTCTATTTCTAGTTGAATAGTTGTGTGAATGTCCCCAATGGTCATCAATTTATTTGTCAACTAGTCAGGTGTAATTCCATTTTTTATTTTATAGATAAAGAGTTTGATAATACCTATTTTTCTATCTTTAAATCATACTGATTATATCCATGCTGAATCCTGTTACCTGTTACCTTTGCTGTAGGTCTATAAACCCTAAGTATAAACCTAGCAGTCCCAAGGTGGAAAAAAACTTCGGGAACTATATAATAATTAGGTGCTTTTTAGGTGCTAATTACGGCCTCTAATTAAAAATTAGGTGCTCCTTTAGTTTCTGAAAAAATCAAAAAAAACTAATTGCCCGGATAAACATGGCACTCCCTGTGCTGACCCTGGAAGTGGTCGGAATGACCAGACTCTAATTATTGGTTCGTGAGGTGTACTTGTTTGTTTTTTTACTTAAATTTAACGGTGGTATTCCCGAGTATCTGTATCTGGGAGACTTGGAAAGCAATAATTCAAATCATACAGCTTCTGGTTTGTTCATGAAACACTTTCGGGCGGTTTACAAGTCAGACATCTACACTAACACTAATTTCACATGTCAGAAGTCTGTCAATGTGGGCTCATGCTCCATTGATTTACAATCTATATATTCTGCGCTTTGTAATTTAGATACTAACAAGGGGCCGGGACCTGATGGTATACCGCCCATCCTTTTGAAAGTTTGTAGGTGCTCACTGGCAAGGCCCATGCATATGCTTTTCGCTGAGTCTCTCAGATCGGGAGTATTTCCAGAACGGTGGAAGCATAGCTTTATAACTCCAATTCATAAAAGTGGTGATAGATCTGATGTTGAAACATATAGACCTATCTCGATCTTGAATTCAATACCCAAGTTGTTTGAGGGTCTAATTGTCCAGCGGGTGAAGAGGGATATATTTTCGATTATTATTGAGCAACAGCATGGGTTTTGTTCGGGAAGAAGCACAACTACCAATATGATAGTTTTTACACAGTTTGTGCTGAATGCTTTGGAGAATCACTCCCAGGTGGATGCGATATATACTGACTTCTCCAAGGCATTCGATTCGACACTGTAAATATAACGTTGTTGTGTCATAAGCTCAGGGCACTGGGATTTCATGGGGTCATGTTGCTCTGGCTGAGGTCTTACTTAACCGATAGAACTCAATCTGTGCGTTTGACTGGTGCAGTGTCAGACGAGTTTCTGGTTACATCTGGTGTTCCCCAGGGAAGCCACTTGGGTCCGTTTCTTTTCAATTTGTTCATAAATGACTTAGAGGTGTACCTTAAATGTCCCTTTTTACTGTTTGCCGATGATTGTAAAATTTATAGTATAATTGATTCTGTGACGGATTGTGAGAAACTTCAGACGGACCTGGATGCCTTTGCTGGGTGGTGCCAAACTAATAGGTTGGATCTTAATGTCGCCAAGTGTCATGTAATGTCATTTTCGCGTAGCAAAAATAAAATAGAGTTCTCATATCATATAAATGGTCAAATGTTGGGCGTTGTTGAGAAGGTTAGAGATTTGGGTATAGTCCTTGATACAAAATTGAGTTTCCACTTACATTATGATCATATAATAAATATTGCCTACAGGACTTTGGGTTTAATTTGCAGAATGGGATATAGCTTTTCAAATATATATACGTTGAAAATATTGTTTCAAGCGCTAGTTAGACCCATTCTGGAATATGCCTCGCCTGTTTGGTCACCTAGCTATGAGACTCATATTAAAAACATCGAAATGGTGCAGAATAAATTTTTATACTTTGTGTCTAGAAAATTAAATATATTTTATCCTAATTATTCTGCGACTCTTTTAAGGTCAATAACGGGGATGCCCAGACTTTCGACTAGAAGACACAGTGCTGATTTATTTTTTTTGTTCAAAATATTGAATTCGTTTGTTAATTGTCCTGAAATTCTATCCCAAATAGACTTTTTTGTACCACCTAGGAATACTAGAGGAAGGTGCACTTTCATGCAATCCTTCCATAAGTATAATTATGGAGTCAATTCTCCAATATCTAGATTTGTTAGAGAGGGCAATGAATCCAACATAGATTTCTTCAGCATTACGCTTGGCGGCCTGAGGACTGTGCTTTCTGGGAACATTGCTTGAGATTTGAGATGACAGTCCACTGCATCGCATTTGTTTATTGGTTTGTCATTCTGTTTATTGACTTAGATTTATTCTGGATTTAGATTTAGTTAGGTTTAAGTTTAGTTATGTTAAATTTAATGTATTATATTGAAATTTAGTTGTAAAATGGGCTACCCGTTGATAAATAAAATAAATAAATAAATAAATGTTTTTATATCCTACTGAACTATTAAAACCATATAATACCTTGGTTACGATAATCATAAACAGGGTCTTAACTCCCAAGGGAGATAAGGATTTTCATAACTCCCAAGGGAGTTAAGGAAGGGAGTTAAGGATATCATAACTCCCAAGGGAGTTAAGGATTTCCATAACTCCCGCTTTTACCTTGAATAGGTAACACTTTGACAAAAAATAGAAATTTTGATTTATGGCTTATTCCTTTATAAAAATAGACAGAATACAGTAAATTCAGTGGGATATAAAATTATCTATGTACCACGGGAATTATCAGGAGTTAATACCCACGGGCAATTGGTGTCCCTCGGGCCGGAGGCCCTCGGGACACAAACGTTGCCCTGGGGTATTAACACCTGCATAATTCCCTTGATACATAAATAACTATTTTTATCATAGATGTATGTGTTTATTTTTTTTTTGTACTAAATGTTTTTTAAGATTTAAGTACAAATTTTTTTAATTGTGTATTGTAAATAATGACATGAACAACACCCTCTGGGTAAAATGTTCTCTACCAATTTGTAATTGTAATTGTAAACATATTGATCAAATAAAGAAATCCATATATCTATCTATCTCTACCTATCTAAGGGACTACTAGGTTTATAAAAGCTAGCAGTCCCCTATAGTAAAAAATATTTTTTCAAATTTTTTCTTTGTATCAGAATTAGGTGCTTTTTAGGTGCTCTTAAATAGTCAAAGAAAAAATAGAATTGATTAATTATTAACTGTTACCGATTTTTTTTTCAATTATAAGGGGACTGCTGGCTTTACGTTTACTTGTTGGTGTGACAGAATGGCAAAAAAACTTCGGGATCTATATAATAATTAGGTGCTAATTAGGGCCTCTAATTAAAAATCAGGTGCTCCTCTGATTTTTGAGAAAATCAAAAAAAACTAAGGGATTGCTAGGTTTATGAAAGCTAGTAGGCCCCTATATTAAAAAATATTTTTCCAAAATTTTCTTTTGTATCAGAATTAGGTGCTTTTTAAGTGCTCCTAAATAGTGGAAGAAAAAATAGAATTGATTAATTATTAACTGAGTTTTAGATTTTTTTTAATTATTAGGGGACTGCTAGCTTTACGTTTACATGTTGGTTTGTCAGAATGGAAAAAAAACTTCGGGATCTATATAATAATTAGGTGCTTTTTAGGTGTTAATTAGGGCATCTAATTAAAAATTAGGTGCTCCTCTAGTTTTTGAGAAAATCAAAAAAAAACTAAGGGATTGCTAGGTTTATGAAAGCTAGTACTCCCCTATAGTAAAAAATATTTTTCCAAAATTTTCTTTTGTATCATGCGAGGTATCATGTATGTACATACCATACAGTTTACTTTGTCTGTGCAGGCCTGATTCATCCCAATGATGGTTTTCAAGTATGATATGATGATTACTAATACAGGGTGTTTCCATAACTTGGCACCTAACGATACCATTTTTATTGTTGTATAGAACTAAATCTATTAAGCTACCTAATTCTACATTCTGTGTGGATCCTGAATCATTGACAACCTTCAACAGGAGATGCGGCACACCAACCTTCAAAAAAACACAAAAATTCAGAACAACTTGCACCAGGAAAACGATACAAATTACCTATCACGTAAATCCTGCCATAAATAGAGAGTTTCAAGACAATAAACCAATAGTTTTTTTTATATACATATTGTTCAATATTTAATTAATAAGTCAACACAATCGTTTATGTAAATTACTACACCACCAGTGTGTCTGTTTTCACTGTTCACCCTATAAACTTTATAATTCAAAATACTAATCTAAAAATCATTTATACAATCTGTGAGTCTTATCTCTGTTAAACATATTGCCATAGGCTATGTTTCCAAGATAAAATTGTGAATTTCCTCAAACCTAGATAAAAGACTGAGAATTTATCAAAATATGTCCCTGCTTCCCAGCAGAAATGTTATCATTGAAATCACTACCTTACCTTTTTTGCACCTAGCGTTATTTAATATTAAATTTTGTATTGCCCTTGCTACTTTGATTCTCCCTCCAAATTTAAGTCCCAAACTGTTATTACCTTGAGCATCATAATAAAAATTTGAAGCATTCACAATTAAGTATTGCACAACAAGTATCCAACACCTGAAGAGCTGATAATAATTAAAATCTGGATCAACAATGAAATTTGGTTCACCAGAAAATATTTCCATCTTAAATCGTTTCTTCGACATTTCAGGAAAATTCAGCACAAATAAATCCATAAAAAAATAAGAAGCAAATCTACGAATATCAGTAGAGATCTGGATAAAATGTCATCCATCACTTGTTGGAATAGGTATTGCAGGAGCATTTTTTAATCCAAAGGTCATTTAAATAAACCAGCAATGTCCGTTTTCTCCATTAAAGGATGTTTGGGGTGGCTTAATTAGAATAAAAAATAAATATTTATTGCTTCATATTGACTCTAGACATTGCATTCAATGGTGTAAAAGAGTTTCATTGAAATTTATAGCTTTCAAGGACAAAGACTTTGGAAGGGGACAGTTCTAGATGATTTCTGCCCCTCGTAACTCTGAAGACTGAAAATTGACGTTTTTAACTTTTGAAAACAGTTTCCAACTTCCAGAGTCCAAGAAAATTGAGGAAAACTGCTATTCAAGAGCAGCCTCTGAGGACTGGAGTAGAATTTACTGATTATTTGCATCATTTTATTCTTGTAAAGTGAGTTTTGAATGATTAAACGCCTTTTATAGGAATTTATGGTTTCAACAAAGACTTTGATTAGTGCAAATTCCAACCAAATGTTTGAAAAAAGGACAAATGAAAAACCGTTTTTTGAAAATACTGGCTTTTACATAGAAAAAATTGTGAAACCCATAACTAGTTGTCATTTGTTTGAAAATGTTAGATATTTATAATAATTACATAAAAATATAAATCAGAAACACAAAAAAATTAAACTAAAAATCCAATTCTCTATCCACTATATAAGTCAAATTTTTGCCAACCCTGTTAACAGTTGGAAGTTTATTATGCGAATTTTCAATGCCAAACTTACTCTTCGTGCATCAGAATTTCAGCAATTGTATGATTTTGTTAAGATTTCCAAATTGTTTTTTGTAATTGCAAGAAGAACGTGAAATCAACCTCATTGACTTATTTTATTATACTTCTGTAACTATTAAGCCAATTGGCAACCAAATAAAGGATTCCATAGTTTCCACTAATTTCAAATAAAATTAACATACATGCATTGATATGGGGTGGTTATTCTTCTGACTCTATTATAATCCATTTTATTTATTTTGAAAAACTGTTTAGAACTCTTTACGGGCAACCTACGATTACATGAAAAACGACTTGAAGAAGATTGAAGACAGTTGCAAAAACCAGAACAGGAGACTTCAGAATTACTGCCAAAATATTACTCAATTTATAAACGCCAGAATAAACTTAGTAGATTTGTATCCTTTTTTTTAGAAGAGATAGGTAGATATGTAACATTTCTGTTAACATCTTTGTATTGTGAAATGAGCATATATCAAAAATAAGGCGAAATTCCAATTAAAGTGCTGCATACATTATACAGCTCACAAGAAGACTAGCTAGTACAATATGACACACAATATTCCCTTTCAGCTGGCTTTTGGGCACACTTTTTCTCAATTTTTATTATTTGAATTGATGAAACTTGTTTTATTACTTCCTTTATCCACTGACTTATGCATCTATCTTTGAAATTATTCCTTAACACTTAACCAGATACGACAAAATGTACAAACAAGCTCTCAGCAACAAACACATGATCTACAAAGACTTCCTCAACGAAATCGAAACAATAATTCAAAGACATTGTCTCGGTTTCACTGACATAACTCTCACCCCTATGAAAGCGGTCTTCAGTTTAGAATGCGAAGTGGTCCAGCAACTATTCAAAGCCATGGTCGAACTTCAAAAGTTGAGATTCCTACCGTCGCTAGCTCTCGTCCACGGTGCTCACGCCCGATTAGCCGCTTGGGAAAACCGAATGCAAAAGGAGACCTGGAAATTGGGGCTGTTCAAAAACAGCCCTTTGCCCACGTTGTTTTTGTGGTTGCAAAAACTAAAGGGGGCAGTTTTGAGTAAATTTAGTTTGTATTTTCACGATATTTTGGCCAATCAGACTACACCTATGGACATGAGGCATTTGTGTTCGAGACTACACCAGGATTTTTATCAGAAGTAAGTAAATGGTATACATCAATTTGAGAGTAGGTTGAACTCCTTAGTCCTTAGGCTGATAATATAAAATTGAACACAACTTATTACCAGATTATTTAGGTTTTTAATTGGAAAAGCGATCTCAGTTTCATAACTGCAACATTCTATTTTGATTTTTTTCAAAAATACAGGGACGGTGAAAAATAAGCCCCTGCTCAGTCCTCGTTGGAACACCCCCTGAACCTATTTACGCATTTTATAGTATTGTTAAAATGAAAATTCGATTTTAAATAAGCCAACTGCTAAATAATAAATGTTTTTGATTTTATTTTTAGAATGGTTACTTTCCAAAGAAAATATGAAGCTGCTTGTGTAATATTACTTTCTGATAATCAAGTTAGTTGTGACACTGCTGATTACGATAGTTTTCCCATTATAGTATCTTATCCACCAGTAAGTTGAATACATAATTAGATTAATTAAATATGTAAATTAATTTCCTATTTTTAGAGAAGTCCTCCCCAATTAGATATTATATTAAAAATGATCTCTGATACCAATGAACTGTTAACCCTCAAACCAATAACGAAATTTCGCTCATTGGTAAGAACCGATAGCAATAGTAGCTTTTTAGAGGGTGTCCCGCAATTCTATTTTCAGGATCAGTGCACCTATTGTTTGACAATGGTGGAGCCCAACATATATTTCGTTATATTGTTCGAATCTAAAAAATCTGAAAAAGACGCCTGGATAGGTAATTTTATTAACGATTTTTGCATGAATCTTAGGTGTACAAAAACGTTTGTTAGCCTAAAAAATCCTTTATAAAATAAGCTACTATTTTATGTTTAAATTTACATAAATATACTGCAGTGCAATTCTGTACTCGATTTAAAAATTTTAAGTTATTTTCCATTAGCGTGATTATAAATTACAGATTTCTCTAAAAATTTTTGAGCTTTAGTAATAAAGTGACAGCATAAAGTATGCCATGGACTTTTTGTCCTAGCAACAAAACACCTACCATGTAGCATATCATTTTGAAATTTTGAATATTTGTCAAACGGTTCGCGTGTAAAAATGTGGAAATTATCCCTCAAAAGCGGTGCTAGTTTAGCAAAAAATGCCAAACTAATTTGTGCTTCATACGCGGTCGACTCTAGAACAACTTCTAGTACCGCTACTGCGGAAAAGGAAACTCCATTGATCGAATTGGATCCTATTGGTAAGAACTTTCAAGTTTTACTAAATATTGGACTTTTTTTCAAAAATTTTAATAATCTCTTTAGCTACTTCACCAGTTGCCCAATCAACTGACAACCTAGTGGTATCGAAAATGCCTAGATCCTCCAAAGCCTTAGAAGTGGTCGCCTCAAAAGCCCCAGAGCGATCGTCGCCCTTCGGAAACATCCCAGGACCGCACAGCCTCAGATTAATCTCTCTATTTTGGAGCCACGTCCCGCTTTTGAGCACTGAATTTACTGGAGGGGCCTTGTTTCAAGTCATGAACTTAGGTAAATTTTTCGGTAAGGCTCTACACTCGATGAAATGTAAAATAATTAAAAATATATAATTTCAGGAAATCTTCTGAGTTGGGGCGGCAATGCCAAATTTTTCCAAAAATTCTTTGATGTTTATGGTCCTGTGGTGCGTCTTCACGGGCCTTTTGGTGGCGACGTTGTACTACTATCGAGACCGGAACATGCCAGCCTGGTTTTCCAGAACGAAGGCACTCAACCTGTGAGAGCTTGTCTGGATTCAGTAGATAAATATCGTCTGCAACACCGCAGACTGAGTCATGCTGGACCATTCTTAATGTAAGACTCAGGCCCGGTTGTACATTATAAGTCCAAATAGTGGTTCATTGCTATTTGAACTTTTCCATTTGAAATGCATTGCTGTCAAAAAAATGTCATATTTCTGACAGCAATTCATTTCAAATAGGAAAGTTCAAATACCAGTAAGGAACCACTAGTGTTTTTTCACCGGGGTTTATTTAGGACTGGTCCGGAATGGGAAAAGATGCATCACTCGTTGGAAAAACCTTTACGAATGTCCCCAACGCAGCATTTCGCAACGATTGATTCAATAAGCGATCAATTTGTGGAAAGAATCTCGTCCATACGTAATTTGCAAGATGAAGTGCCCAAGTCGTTTAAAAATGAAATTTTAAAATGGTGCTTGGAATGTACCCTTGCGGTGGCATTGAAAAGGTACTACTCACTCATGCCATGATTTTGCTAGATTCACATTTTATTTTTGTTGTAGGAAATTGGGTTTTGTTGATCCGACTGGACTGAGCCATACTTCAGATCCTGGCCGTATTTTAGAAGGAGTGAACGGCGCCATTGAGGCAATTAGAAAATGCGAATACGGTTTTCATGTTTGGAAATTTATGTCTACGCCTGCTTGGAGCTCTTTAGTCAAACACTGCGACACTATCGACTCGGTACTAAGTAAATACGTGGAACGTGCTCAAACTGGCCTAAGAGAAAAAAAGGATTTGAAATCAACTCAGGATTTGTCTCTTATCGAAAATCTACTGCTCCAAGATGACATTTTAGTTGAAGATGTTATGACTTTAATGCTTGATATGCTTTTAATTGGAGCTAACGCCACCACTCATAGCGTAGCGTTTTTACTTTACCATCTTGCCACAGCGCCTAGGTGTCAAAACCTTCTCTACAAAGAAATCATGTCGCAACCAAATGAATTAACAGCGGAAACCATGAAAAACATGCCATACTTGCAAGCTTGCATGAAAGAGAGCATGAGATTGAGCCCTCCAATACCAATCCTCAACAGGATTTTAGCTAAAGATGCTGTGATTCACAGATATTTAATACCCAAAGGTACTTATGTGCTTATTGCGGTGCACTTGGCCAGTTTGAGAGAGGAATACTTTGAGGACGCTAAAAAATTCAAACCGGAACGTTGGTTCGCGGGAGCGGTCACCCCTCTGGCTCAGAATTTGCAAAATTTCGCTTCGATGCCCTTCGGACACGGACCGAAATCTTGTCAGGCCAGAGAACTAGCGGAATTGCAAATTGGACTGGTCATTTCTAAGGTGTTGAAGAGGTTCGTTGTGGAATATAATTACGGGACGATTGAGAGTTCCAATGCGCTTTTGGCCGCTCCGGCTAAACCTTTGAATTTCAGATTTGTTGATCGTGTTGCATAATGTTTTTAGTGTATAGGGAATTTGTTAAATAATTCATTATTTTCGGAGATTGTGTTTTATTTTTAGTCTTGTAGTAAGCTAAAACTTTTTTTTTCATGGTGATGGTTTCATGGTAAAAGGTACAAATATGGTTTTGTTGGGGTTGACGCTTAAACCTGAAGGGCATTTTGCATGAGGTCACTAATGATTCTATCATGCTTACCCCTAATGATGACTATGACGTCGTCAGCATATCTTGAGACTGTGATCCCTTGGAAGCTTAGCGCGATGAGAAATTGATTTACTACCAGTGACCACAATAATAGTGGGGACAATACTACCCTTGGGGGCATCCCTTGACTGCTGAAACCGTTACAGAATCACTTCCAATGGTTGCTTTGATTTTCCTATTCTCGAGCATGGCTTCAATCCATGCAATTGTAGTTTCATCCAGGCCTTTATTTCTAGCCACTCTTCTTATTATCAATAAATGCACATAGAACGTTTTCTTGATTAGAGTGTGCCCCTTTTCAATCTTAGTGACAAAACTGTGTAGGGCTATCTCAATTGATTTACCTGATAGGCAGATTGATTCTTTTGGAGCAGGCTTTCCATTAAAAATTCACTCCAATCAGTTCTGATGTAAAGGTCAATTGATTTTCTTTATGGTTTTCAGGAGAAAAGAGGTTAGGCTAATATTGGTCTGAATGACTTAGGCTGTTCTGTAGGACGCCTACCACCCTTTGGAATGAATACCACATTCACATCCCGTCAACTGGTGGGAATGTAGCCTAGTAGGTAGCTAGCTTTGAAAGTTTTTGTTAGATGTGGTGCTAGTTCTTCCAGGCCTTGTTGTAAGAGGGCGGGAAAGATCCCATCTTCACCTGGGTCCTTATTCTTGAAACAGGGGAACGAGTGTCTTTGTTATGTATACTATCAGTTGCATATTATTGAGAAAGACGCAACAAACGTTCTCTTGTGAACGCTGCTTTCCTGTTTCAAGAATAAGGACCCTTGGTGCGGTTGGTCAGTCGCCTTTCACCACCACAGCCCTTTTCTCATCAGGTTTTCACTCGATAGACTCTGGGAAGTGTGTTTGCGGAAGCACTTTACACTATCTAGTCTACTTTCGGTATAGCTACCAGCAGATGTCTGAAGGAGTCGGATATTGTTTGAGTGATCTTTTGCTAGGATTTTCTGAAGGCGCATTATTCGAGGGACGATGATCATCTCCTTGCAGAATATCCTCCAGGATTCTCTTTTAGATCTTCTCAATTCTTTGTTGTATTCTGTAAGGGGTTTTTTGTATTCGTTGGTGCGTTTAGCCTTATTGAATAATTTTCTTGTCTCAATCCTTAAGGAGCTGAGTGTCTTGTTCCACCAAGGCGTATTCCTCTTCACTTTTTTTTTTTATTTTTTTTTTTACGGATATGCGCACTCGCAAGGAAATGTCCTATCACGCTCGAGAAGCGGCAAGTGCGCGGAAATGTCGGTGTATGTTGGTCTTGAAACGGTTCAGGTTGTAACCTGCAGGGAAAACCGTCGCAGGGAGTTTATTCCACAGCGATGCTGTTCTCCAGAGATATGAATTCTGATATAATGAGGTTCTTGGTACCATGGTACCTCTAGTTTGACAGTAAATTCATGGTTACCGTCTGTTTGACGGGTTCGCCTGGTAGGTGCTACTCTCGGTGGAATCATACGTGCCAACTCTTCAGAGCATTTTCCGTGATAGTACCTGTAGAAGAGAGATAAATCGCCCACAGATCTGCGATGTTCGAGACCATCCAAGTTACGAGTAAGTGCGGGGTCATTGATCAGCTTGATAGCTCGTTTTTGCACGGTATTCAAAAGCATTAAGGTATGTTTGGGTGCTGCACTCCATATATGTGAGCAGTACTCCATAGTTGGTCGAATCTGGGCTTTGTAGAGTGTCAGCAATTGGCTTGGTGTGTACAGATGTCTTGTACGAAATAGCACCCCCAGCTTTTGGGAGGCCCTTTTAGCAATATCTGCCACGTGACTGTGCCAAGACATGTTGGTCTCTGCAGTAACCCCCAAGATGTTCAACTGACTCTGTAATGTGACAGCACTTCCAGATAGCATGATGTTTGGCTCACCGGTGCTGGTCTTTTTTGAAAACAGAGCTGCTTGGGTTTTCTGCGCGTTGAACTGTACAAGGTTTTTGTTACCCCAGTCCTCTATTATCTCCAGGTCGTTATTTATCTGCGATATTTGAGTTAGTCTAAGATGGTGGAATTCACGTGCGGAAAGACCTGTGGGTGGTATGAGTGAGGAGACTACATTGCCATCGTCTGCAAAGCAATAAAGTGGATTTACTGTTTTATCTATGAGGTCATTTATGTAAATCAGGAAAAGAGTTGGCGAAAGGATTGCTCCCTGTGGCACACCAGCATTTATTTGGTAAGAGTTGAAGTTCTGGCCATCCAGTGCACCATAAATGGATCTGTCCTTTAGGTAACTTTCAAACCAAGTGCAAAGTTTCGGCGATAATCCCATTGCTTTGAGCTTGTTGAGCAGATTTTCATGCCAAACTTTGTCGAATGCTTTAGATATATCTAAGGCAATTGTTCTTGTTTCACCCCGCAACTCAATCGCTTTTTGCCATAAGTGAGTGACGTATGTAAGTAAACCGCCAGTTGACCTATATTTTCAAAATCCGTATTGCTTATCGTTGATAATTTTGTACTTTTCCAAGTACTTGGTTAGGTGATTGTTCACAACTCTTTCCATTACTTTTGATATCACCGGAAGTAGAGCAATTGGTCTATAGTTTAACGGATCTGTCTTTTTTCCTTTCTTTGGAATGGGTTGTACTGCGGCAGACTTCCATGATGATGGATATACTCCTTGCCTGTAAGACAAATTGAATAATTTTGCGAAAGTTGGGGTGAGTTCGTTGGCGCAATTTTTGAGTACTATTGCGGGAATGCCATCCGGACCCATTGCTTTGTTTGTATCCAGCTTTTTTAGGGATTTTCGTATTTCTCTGTGACAAAAGGGTACCTCTGGCATACTATGGGAAACCTTTTTGAATGAACGGTGGAGTTTTTCCGTTTGGCACTGTTAGGTTGGAGTTGGAGGAAAACATTTGGGCAAGCATATTGGCTTTCTCCTCTGATGTTGTGGCTAAGTGATTATTTTTATCTATGTAAGTGGTGGTATGGATGACTTGGTGAAGTTAGAACCAACAGCTTTTGCAAGAGACCAAAAGGACCTAGAACTACTTGGACAATTCAGCAACCTGTTTGTTATTCTTTGATTGTATGTTTCTTTAGCGGAGTCAATAGTAATTTTGCAACTATTTCTGGCTCCTATAAATTCTGTGTGGTTTTGAGCGGTTTGTTGTCGTTTCCAAAGGTTATATGCTCTGTGTTTTTTCTGTACAGCCGTTTGACACTGGCTGTTGATCCAAGGTTTTGCATTAGCTCTACGTTTAGTTGTATGTGGGATATATGCGTCCATTCCAGATAAGATTACTTGTGTTATTTCATTACAGCAAATAGTGGGATCAGCTGTTTTAAAGCAAACCTCTTGCCATGGAAAATCCAGGTAATACTGTTTTAGGTCATTCCATTTTGCCGATTTATAGTGCCACATTTTACGAGGAAGTGGTTGTAGGCTTGGTGGGATGAGCATTTCGCACTTTGTTATTATAAGTTTATGATCGGACGAACCAAGTGGAGCATCTACTTGAATTGTGTACGAGTCAGGATTGGTGGTTAGGAACAAGTCTAAAAGCGCTGCAAATTCGCCCCTTTCTGAGATACGGGTAGGTTCAACGACAAGCTGCGTTAGACCACAACTTATGGCAAAAGCTTCTGCTTCCTCTGCCTTCGTTATCTGTTTTGTTGTGGTGTTTCAGCCTGGGTATATTGTGGACGTTGAAATCGCCTAAAAAGACAATTTCCGCCTGTGGATAGTTTGACTGTATACTATCACAGCTTTCGGATAATGTCGCGAAAAAGTTTTGGTAATCGGTGTTACTTGGCGGTTGGTAGAGGCAGCAGATAAACTTGGTCGATGACTTTGAGGTGAATTTTAGCCATATGATATCAAGGTTCGCTGGTTCTAGCTTCTCCTCTCGATGACATGAAAGGTCATTTTTAATGTACACACAGATCCCAAAATTATGTCGAAATCGGTGGTGTAGGTCATAGCCGGGATAAAGATAGTTCACAATAGGTGTTGCAGAACTGATTTTAGTTTCAGTGAGAACAAGGATGTCAGGTCTTTGTTCTTGAAGATGTTGGTGAACTGAATTCATATTTGTACTTATTCCTCTTATATTGCTAAAATCAATTCTGAGTCGAGTTTTTGATCTTCTCTTTATATCTTTGCATGAAGGACTCCCAGGATCACCCGACGCCCGGAGATCCGAGTGGTCGGGTATTTTACCTCCGGAATATTTTGATCCTGGAGACGCCATCATGCTATCTGTTACTCATTGTTGGAACCGGACTGCCAGCGCAGTAGCGGAACGTGGTGATACCACTTTGCGCTACTCAATTCTGGCATGGTGGTATCTCACCGGTCGACGCCCAATGAGTAAAAAGCGTCTACCACCTTTACCACACTACCCGTTGCTTCACAGGACTCTCATAGGTTGTAAATATGAGATACTTTATTTCGTTAGAATAGAATTTTAGATCGCCTTTGGTCTCGATAACGTTAGGGAGATTGGTACTTTCCGTTCTTGACAGGTCTTTATACGACTCGAGTCGGTAAGTTTTGGGTTTCTATAATTGAGAAGGCATTCTTCTGTGGCCTCTATGTCGAATCTGATGAGTTTGAGGTCCGACATCGAGGCATGTATCTGATGAAATCAGATACATGCCAGCCCTTTATACGGTTACCTATAGCTGTGCTGGCGAGGGTGTATTTGTTACCTTTATTAATAATGTTTATGTCATACGAGATCAAATATTCAATAAGGCATTCACACAAAACCTTTTGTTAATGTTTGTGCTGCCCCATACACCCCCCCCCCTCATACGTCGTATGTTACAAAATCCAACGTCTGCCTCAAAACGTACCTATTCATGACATTTTTCCAAGACACTAAGACGTCTTCAACGAGATATCTTAAAGACGTTTTTGAATTTCTTTTTAATAAATAAACCACTATTTACTTTTATGCTCAATTATACCAAATAGTGTGGCTCAATAATTGTCAAGACGTGAATTTACGGGACGTCTTCTTGACGTTTTTTTTTTGGTCTTTAGTCTTTAGAGGCAATGCAGACCTGAAAAAGACGTCTTCAAGATTTTGGGTTTTAAATAAAAATTGAATTTCTCAATGTCCCCCTGACATTTTCGTGAACCTCCTAAAATGTAGTTACCGTCATATACTTTGCTTGGTTTGTTATTTTATTTATTACTTATCAAGATCAGATTTCGCTATACTTAATTAACAAGAAAAAAAATTGATAATCTATTAGAAAATAATTATGAGAGAAAGGAAGTTAATCGGGATAAAGGATGCTGCCTTCTAACGTTCCAAAGCAACCGGTCTCATTAAGACTTCTCGCAAACAGGTGAACGGATGTAGCAGGTTCTGAAGGAAATTATTATGCTGGTTCTTCGTTTTGTTTTGCGTCTCTTCTCGTAACAAAATTACGTGTCATTACGCGAACCAATTTTTTTCTTGGCTTACAGCATGAATTTTATTAATTCTGATCATCTAATTACAGAAGATGTGCGACTGTTTGCAAATATTCAGCAGGTACAAATAGCGGAATTTCAATCGATTCTACGAAAGAATAGTCCTTGTGTGTGTCCGTGGAAATATTTTCTACTTATACAGGATATGCCACCAAAGTTCACATATGTAAACTAAAAATAACGTTATAAGGTAGGATACGATTGTCATCAACATGGTACATTCCTACGCATAATGCCTATATGTCATGAGAGTCGTGTACATATACTCGAAGACAAGACAGGAAATTACTTCTTTAGCATTTTGATGGTCGCATTTGGTTTTTCTTGGGATTTTCCGCTTGGTAATATTTTATTTATAACTTTTTTGTATAAAGGTAAAAATAGGTACTTATATATTTATTTTTTTAAAATGACTAGAAAATACATATTACTGTTGAGGGTAATTATTAAAACGCAAAATCCCATGCCATTGGTGAGCGGTCTTCATTTTCTAACTGTAGCTGAGAATTGGGAAAAAATTAATAAAATCCTACAGTGTCTTTGTCATATACTAACCACGTCATTATAGGAAGATGAAAAATTGCGATGACAATCTTGCAGAATCTGGTCCAGGGCACGAATATAATCGATGGCGCAAAGGAGGGTTTTTACTTTACTTATCCGTTTACCCCTGAAATAAAATAGAAATTAGTGAAATTGAGCTTTAAAAGACTGCAGTTGAAACATAGATTCTTTGATAATCTAAAAAAAAGAGACTCTCGCAATTTTTAACCCTATGGAGTTGGCTAAGAGAAAAGAATCTTTAAAAACCATTTTTGGCCCTACAGAGTTGTCAGACTAAAAGTTATGGTAAGAGGCTCTTCTGATTGATTAGTCAAAGAAAATGTTTCGTATCATATTTTCTACGAAAAATTTGACAAAAGAATGTTTCAACAATATAGCCCTCAGATGGTTGTCAGAGGCCAAAAAACAATTTTTCCTAATAATACACCAGACAACAGGAATATTCCATGAATAAATAATTGGGATCATTCCTGGGTTATTCCAGAAAACTATAGGCATGTTTCAAGCATTCCTGTATAATTTATTTAAATACTCTATAGGCTGAGGAAATTTTGGTATTGGTGGCTCATACAGTTATTATTCAGCTCTTATTTTGCCGGAAACTACAAAAGGAATTTTTATTTTATGTGGGTACCGCCAATATAGACAGTTTCTCAAAATACCTAATTATATTATACTATTATCCCGTTAGAACATTAATTATTATTACCAAATAAAATAATAACAGCTATTATATACTTTTAAAATACTGATTATTAGTCCCGTCATGACTATGTTGCCGTTTGTTTAATTGCTAACAAATATTAATAGGCCATTAAAATTGCAGAAAAAAAATTTATAAAAGGACCATTACCTTGTATTCTGGATAGGTACAGCATTTCTCAGTTTAACAAAAGCATCGTTAACAGCTTCAACTCTCCTCCTCTCCCTAGCGTTTCTTTTAGCAACCACTTGTGGTGGTTTTTCCTTATGAGGCACGTGTCCGGAATAGCTTTTCGCTTTTGATGGTTTTTTTGATTTCTCATAGAACAAAACTTCCTCTTCAATGTAACCGAACATAACTTCTGACCCTTTACCAACTGACGAAAAGATGGTTTTAAAAAAAGGTAAATTATGTATCCATTTGGCTCGTGCGTTTCTTCGCCCGCATTTTACACCTGGACACATTTTGGGCGTGTTTTGTTTTTTTCGTGAAAATTTTCAGCTGCCCACATGATTTGGTTATTTATTATTATAATCATAAATCTATTTAGAATTACTTCCATGCGAGCATAATAACAGTAAACTCTTTGGCCATCCATTAAAGCTATTTTGGTATTCAACAAGAGTCGATTTGTATTATTATTAAATCAAGTCATACTGAGCGAATTATTGTAAGACATCGGTTGTATGAATGTTTTTGCAACAATAACGCACCATCAGAAGAATTTCAATTGTTCCATAGTCCAGTGGCAGCAGCTATTAAAATCATTAAATTGATATATTATTATGAAACTAGAGAGGATTTAATTCTCATGCACGCACAGATGCCGATGTTATTAAGAAAGACGTTTCTTGTCCACATTCCTCTGATGAGTTTATCGCAAACTCTTCTAATTAGTTGGCATAAAAACGGTTTAGGAGCAGCAGCAACTAATTCCTGAATTATAATTTAAGCTGTAAATATATGGATGGGTATTAAAGGATTTCTTTAGGAATGTTTTTTTTTTGCGAAGTGCTCGTGGAGTTCTTATTCAGTTCGTTTTTTAAATTGCAAATAGTTTTGATGAAATTGGAGACATCAGTGAATTGAAACTATCGATAAAATTTCAAAAGTACTTATGTATTTCAAGTGGAAATTAGATGACAGACTAAAATAGTGACCAAATTATGCAACCTAAACCAAAAGAAAAGTGGAAATTGCCCAACCTGGCTTGGAAAGATAACAGCCAAGTGAAGGTCCAAGATTGTGCACTTGCAACAAACAACATCACTGAAAAAGAAGATAATATAAATTGATGAATCCAATATACCTACTGAGTTCAGTTGCAAGGATTGTGGAACGGAAGGCGAGTAAATCTTGCCGAAGGAGAATGATAGAATCAAAAACAGAAAAAAAGGCATGAGAACCAAATGAACTTTGAAAGATTACCGTGATATAGTCTGTGCCACTTCCATATATACAATGTTATTGTTTACCGACTTTTTACTTACTTCTCTAAAAAGATGATTAGCAAATCAAGAGTTGGTACTAGTTAAAATTTCGATTATTACTGGTTCTTGAATCGTTGGAAGTTCAAATATTAATAAAAAGAATCAGGAAGCAAGAGTTCATCATAGTCTAAAATTTATTGACTATCGGCTCTTGATCGCCTCTCCTACTTCTCTACAAAAAATGTCCATCGAATCAAAGAGCCGGTAATAATCTTAATTTTGATTATAATATGGTTCTTGATATAATATAATAAATAGGTATATGTATATGTCAGTTTAGAACGTCTTTCTTCGTTTTCCGACACCTAATTTCCATCCTCTTCTATCGTCGCAGTCCTCTGATGAGAAATGTCTTTCACTCATGGACTTTGTATAGGTATGGTCTTTTGCGATTCCAGTTTTGGTCTCAGGTCTCACTCGGTTTCCTTTACCTGTTGGTTGCCAATGCAGCGTTTTTTGGGACCACCTGGAATACGTTCTACGTGTCCGTACTAGGTGAATTGTTTCCTTGCAATGTCCTGAACTATCGTGCCTTCTATTCCCATTTTTTGTTTTTTATGTGGTGGCTCCTTATTCTCTGTCTTCGTGAAATTCACATGGAAATGTGTGAGTTTTTGAAGTGTAACTTCTTAGGCGGCGGTCTGATATTTGAACGACAATGAAGAATGATTTGAAAAACGCGTCATAGTCAAGTTTCGTTACTAGGGAGAAAAGAAAGATATTACGTGCAAAGACGGACTAAGGTCAAGGATTATAAGCGCAATGAGAAATTGCCTATTATTGAAAAGCGTCGATACCCTGGTGACGTCACTACAGTACAGATGCGCGTCCCCTTTTGTTATACTATTATTGTGTTTTTTGATTATTATCGTTAGTTATATATTTTTCTACGAGCACGCATTTTAGGTCATAAAAGTACTACTTTCCCGCACTAGTGCTTTTCGCTTTTTTTCCGCACTGAGTGCGGAAAAGTAGAATACCTGAAATTTTTAGGTATACAGGTACTTACAGGTATACAAATATACTACAGGTACAGGTACGAAAAAGTGAAAAAAATATCTTAAATTGATAAATATGTAGGTAAAAATATTAACTTTCGTGTCGTAGAAAACATAGTGTTCCTAACTCGTGCGGAAAGTCTCTTTTCCGCACTAGTTAGGAAATATACTATTGTGTGCTGTAATTTTTTTTGATTATATCTTTTTTTTTTCAGGAAAAAATGTAGAAGTTTTTTTCTCACCGGTTCTGTATGTTTTTTGGGGTGCTGAATCCGAAGCCGAGGTTTGCACGCCAGGCGTCAGCTTCACAACGAAAATTACAAAAAACCTAAAATTTTTGGCACTTTTTGCAGGTTTTTAACTATAACTGGAGAACTAAGCGTTTTTTAATGATAACTATGATATACCAAATTAAAGTAGACAAAATTCCCTACAAATCGGTATAATTACTCTAAAGTCTCGACAATCCATAACGTCGCTAAATCGTGTTGAATAAATGGCATTTCTTGACTTTCCTCTAAAAAAGTTAGAGAACATTATTCTAACTAAGGTTGTAATAAAAGGAATCTATTATGTGGAAGAAAATAGAATTTACACAAAAAAAAGGAAAAAAATTGAATAATTTCCATATTCATTCGCCATCGTCATCTGCAGAATTATCACCTGAAACAAGGAGAATGGAGACTATAATAGAAACCATGTCGTTTATGTTCATTATGGACATAATTTGTCAATACCTACATGAGGCTCAGGATTGCGTTCGCGGATATTCCGTTTAGAATGTTTAGATGGACCAATAAGCTGTATATGCTGAGCAACGTAAGATTTTCTTCTTATTGCTCTAATTTTTGGAGGATGGGCAGTGGGAAGACCAGCTTCCTACTGGAAAAAAAAATACTATGACATTTTGATTTGTGAAGTTATAGTTTCTAATTTACAGTGATAAATACTAGATTAGGATAATAATTTCTTGTAATAGCCTTCCATCTTCTCAGGCGAAATGTCTTGATCGTCATCATCACTGAGTATTTCTATATTGGAGCAGCTTCCTTCACAATTCAAACAAAGTCTGGAGCAATGTAAACCAAATTCTTCTGCATCCACAACTGCCCTTGCGGCCTTTCTGGCACTTACAGGCAATGCGTTTCAGAAGCTTCTCTGGGCCTGAGGGCTCAAGGGTCGTAATGGAAATCAAGTTGCCTTAGGCAATGAATTTCAGAAGCTTCTCTGGGGCTGGGAGCTCAAGGGTCGTGATGGGAATCAAGTTGCCTTTAATAATTTTCCATTCCAACTGCTCAGGTGGTTGAATATTTCCCAGCCACTGCTGGTACTCGGTGAAATAACCCTGTTACTGTGTTGCTGGGCCGCAGCTTTAGTAGGGGAGATGGATGCTATATTTCCGCTAATCTTGAATGCTGATGACACATACTGTTTGTACCGCAACCTATTTTTTGAAATGGTGCGATGGTCTCCGCCATACAAGGCCACTAGAATTTTTTTCCCCTGTTTCCGAAATTTTTTATGATGTGGCAAGAGGGTTTCTGAAACGTCGAATGTAGACTGAGAGTTCAGGATAGGATACCTTGTAAGGGTTTTCATAAACTTGGCTTTCCCTTGTTTAAAAAGTGCAAATGTGGAGTCACAGCCACTGACAGCATGTATGAATAGTATGTATGTGTTCTTCCAGGCATTTCTCGATGTCGCTTGGAGGATGGTAAACACATGGAAGATTTTTTCCTTCGCCTGGTTTCAAAAAATATACATTGGGAGACGTCATGGCTTCATGACTAGGAGTTCTATATCCTCTCCAACAACTACAACAGTCATGCTTTACAGCAAGGGATTGGGCTGTTTGCACAATCGGAGTGTCTGCATCTTCACTTGCTTGCTTAATGTCAATTTGGGCTGCTGTAGAAGGATGCTAATAAATCTGCATTTGTTGTTGGTACTAGACAGTAATTTCTCCTGGGGGACTGTGGTTACCATTTTCTCATTAACTTGGATGTCAACTGACTGAGTTTTGTATCTTCTAAAGCGCTCTATTTGTTTAGTTCCTTTATGTGCATCAGAGTAGCCGGCGAAGACTAATGCTGCAGTTGCCGTATATATTTATTATTTTTTTCAAATATTCAACGTAGCTGTCACAAATTTGACCAAATGTCTTCCCTTTTCAGACCACACAACTTTGTGCAGGAGAAAACCACCGTCAACCACGTATCGTGAATAGTTGGCCAATATGGATGTGTCAGGTTCTGCTTCTAAAGCCTTGTCCAGTGACGATTTTGTCCCTTTTCTCATGAGACCACCTTTTTTTTTCATCAAATAGAGCAAGTGGAAATAAGGGGCTCAGTTCGTGTGTCAAGAACTCCTCGAGTTCATCGTCTGACTCTTTAACAGTACTCATGCGTTGAAATAAGGTAGTTGGATTAACAACTGCAGATTGATTATGAATCATTATTGAAGATTTCATGGTGGCAAGTGATAACACCCTATTGTTACGCTGACTGGAAATTGTTACCAACAATTGCGAATATTTTGTCAATACACTTGATACCTTCTTCCGTAGACATGTGGCAGTTTATTTTTTCATCACCCACGACCCCTGTGCTCAAGGAAATGAGCTCAGCTGTCTCCGGAAACAGCAGATGTTGGTGGAACCATCCATAATTTTCCTTGCATCTATTTTGTCTCGGGTTTGTGAACATTCTCGAGTATCTGTATGTTGCTCTGATGATGCAAAATCAATTCCGCTGAATCCTTACACAGCATCTTGACAGGATAGCGTCGCTAGTACCACGACCCACCAGAATATTTCATATGTTTCATGAGCTCTTGCTCTATGCACATGTCACTCCATGTTCCACAACGAAACCTATGGCTTCGCCGAATAGTGAACCCGCCTTGCAAAGTGAAAGCTTTTAATTCATTAGAGGTCGTAGTGTGTATTGTAGCTCCAACGTATCCTGTAAATACAGGTGGCAGCACTTCGCATACAGAAAGTGCCCAATGGCATAGAAATAGGGAAGCATGTCATGGATAGTTTCCAAGTGTAAGCCCAGTTGCCGGTTCTCTCTGCATCTAAGAAATTTAAGATTGGTGTAACCATTTGAAAGTACTGACTACACAACTTGGCAGAGGGTCCTAGGCCTGTGAGTTGGTGAAGCTTATTGAAGTTCCTTATTAACAGAATCCTTCTCATGTGCGTTCAAAATTTTCGATTAGTCAGAGTTGTACAAAATGTGTTCAATTTTGAATCGAAATGAGGCAGAAAAATCAATTGTTTCCAGTATTATTGATGCCAGAGTCCTGTGACCTAGCATGTGTACTCTGACCGCCCTTGTATAGGAGTGACCTGTCATTAATTTTTTGGCGCTAACAGCAGCGTGGATAAGGTTGACTATTTCACTAGAGTGTTTTAATAGACCCTGAGATAGGGCCTGTTTAGTGGAGTCATTTTTTTCTGTCTGGCATTTTGAGGGATGAATGGGGCTAGTTAGCTCTGGTATTTTTATTATGTTTCAATGGTTGCTACGGATTTAATGAATAACAGTAGAGGAATCACTTCCAGAGCCACCATTATCAACGTTTTTAGAGGAAAGTCAAGAAATGCCATTTTTTCAACACGATCTAACGACGTTATGGATTGTCGAGACTTTAGACTCATT